TCATTCACCTGCCCTTGTGACTCAGGAATCAGAGGGTGTCTAAGTACTACACCCACGCCTGTGCACACCTGTACCCTATATGGGGCAACACTCCTGGGGCTGCAATGTTAAGAGTACAGAAACAAAAGAATGCCACATCTGAGATCACCTGAGTGACTCTGCAATACATGTGCACTACGATGAAGAACTATTACTGTGAGGCTCTGGTGCTGCACAGTCTGAGTGCAGTCTTTGAGGAGAGAGGAGCAAGGCAAACCTTTCCTTCTCCTTGCCAATACAATGTACCTGTAGAGTGCTGCTGATTGCAGGAAAAGTAGCTTTGCCCAGCATCACTGGCACGTATTGGTACGTATTGGTCCCCTCTGCGTGCCTAACACATTAACTCACATGGTTAACCACAGCAAAGTTACAAGAAGCTGAAATGCAGTCTTATAATGGGAAGGGTCAGGCAGTCATAATAATTCAGCTTGCTACCAGCCAATATTCTAGTACATGTACTAGCATGCTCATAGTCCTCCAATTTTACTGTGCAGACTAGACACTCCTATTAAAAGAGCCAGACAGAGTGAGAAGATGCAAAGTACAATAGGGTTTTAGCTTTAAATATCATACAAGGATGGATGCTAACATTTCCAGACCTTTCTTTTCTAGGGGCTGCAAACTTGTGGTTCAGAATTCAATTTACCAGAACTCAGCCTCCCTTGCAGCCTTCTGGCACACGGAGTTCATTTCCTGCCGCGTTCGTCTGGCATTTTGTGCAACCTGGAATCCACCTGAACCAAATTGCAATACTTAACTGGTTTTTGAGTGCAAACAGGGAAAACAGTTGGCCTAAGTAAAAGGAAAAAAGGATGTTCACAAGATCGCCTTTTTTCCCTTCACACAAACATGTGAAAAACACAAATATGTAAACAGTAGGCAAACAGGAAAAAAAAAGTGAACCTGGGGACTGAACTGCTGCTTTGGTTATAACAGAAGAAGCATGGCTAACTGCTAAGACCTTTCACAGAGCTTTTATTGCAGTCAAGGGGATTTTTCTCTTCCTACCCGTGTGCTTTCAGGTGTTAAGTGCATTGTTGTTTTTCAAGATCCCAGGTATGGGAAGACACAACTCTACAGATTTCTACTGCTTCTGTTTTTTCATGACCCATATTGCCAAAAGCAGAGAAGAACCGCTCCATTTGCAAAACAAACTCAATTGATGCAACAGTTTACTTTACAGCTGCTGCTCAGATGTCCCAGAGTCCATAAAACATAAAAGAGAAACACGCCCAATTACGCTCTATCATCATAATTGCTTTGCCAGAGACGGACAGGAAAGAGCCCAAACACCCCTGCAGAGGTGGGGAAAAGGTGTCACTGGAAAGGAGTGCAGGCTTTCAAACTCTTCTTCCTTCTACTTTGTGGGCTGGCAGGCACATTTCAGACTCTGTGAAACACAGGAGCTTAAAATCTGAAGCCTTGTTTCAGTTCTGACCATCCAATGTGGTATATGCTTATTCCTGCAGGACCTCTCTGGGCTATGCTGTGAGTACGACCTGGAGCAAGTCGTCCACCACAGCAGCTCCACTTCCAGGCATTGCTGTGCTACCTGTGAGGGGCAGGGCAGGGAGAAGCTCTGTTGTTGAACTTTATTTTCGGATGCTTTCTTTTGAGCAGCTTTTTGTGGGCACACTGGCTAATTATGGGAGGTGAAACACTGACAATTGAAGTGATTTTCCTTTAAAAATGAGCCCAAAGAAAATTGTTACTACCAAGATGAACTCAAGGGAGTGGGACAAGATACCTGTCTTTGCCAAATAAGTTGCCTTTTAGACCATACAGAAGACATAAACATCAGACCTTATCTCTGAATGGAGAAAAAGTAAAAGCACAAAAGAAAATGTAAAAGTGCAGGCAATATGTGCTCTACCTCAGAGAAGTACTGCTTAGTTCCCACGGAGGTATAGCAGGGACAGAAATAAAAGCACATGTATTCAGAATTGAACAGAAAGGGGAAAACCCCAAAGATTTCACATAACTAACAGAAACTACTTTTTAATGCTACACATGGATGGAACCATAGAATACCAGGTTGGAAGGGACCACAAGGATCTTCTAGGCCAACCTCTCGAGGTAGAAGTATAGTTTAAACAAGTTGAGTCAGCACCCTGTCAAGCTGACTCTTAAAACTGACCAGTTTTGGGATGGGACCAAGTTGAGGAGACTCAACCAGTGATCTGAGCTCAGTTATCACACTGCCACTGTGGCACACGATGTCCTCTTCACCTTCCCTCCCTGCCTTAGTTTCTGCGCTAAGGGATGGTGTTACTGTCTTAAATCCACCTCTCTGAGCACTTTGACACCAAGACTGGTAAAGCACCTGCACAGAATTTGCTTGTGTGTCCAAGCCACCTCAGAGCCATTCTGTGTGTGCCCATAAAGTGTAAACTGATAACTTCTCACTACTGTAGTGTGCCTACAGTAGATGAAGTTTACAATGAATGCTTAAGCGTAGAAGTTCCATTTCCTTTTGAGCCTCAGCTACCTATACCAAGACCACAGAGCATAGTTTTTACTCCACAGGTTTAGAAAACAAAACAGTTTATTTTCTTGGCAGTATGGCTGACAGCCTGAGACAAGGCCTTTGCCTTACCATTCACTTACCCCATATCAGGGCAACCTGTACTACCATAGGCTGGCAAGTTTAGTCACTCGTAAAAGCTGCCAAAGAAAGAATTCTTAAATATTTATTCCTAGCTTGTAGGAAAAGGAGGCGTTTTTGTCTCCACACGTAAGAGCTTTGTAACTCTGAAGAATCTCGCATTTTGTGGTGCAAGACTATAATTTTCCTGATGGTAGGCTTTGGCTGCCTTTTAATAATCTTCCCATCTGACAAATTTTCTTCTTCAAGAGAGCTGCTTCTCCTCTAATAGGGCACTTACTGGTTATTTTTTTTCCTTTTCAAATAGCCCATAATAATAATAATATTCGCAGACACAAAACATCAAACAGCCTCTCCTAACAGTGGCTGCTAGGTCTGAAGCTCTAGCATGGTCTGGATTCCTTATGAGTTTGTTATTGTTTCAGCATATGCTCCCCGAGATGGCAAAACAACACTGCTACTGTTTGCTGGCATAATGCTTTGAGGTGCGTGATCAGTTGCCTTCATCTAGCAACCAGCCACTGAGACAGCAGCAAACAGCAGATAACTGAAGTTTTAGAAAAGCTGTTTGGGTGGCAAGTGAACAACTGTAGAATTTGGTCTTTATGTTACACTCGGCTGTCTGGTATAACAATGTCCTTCTAGTTGAAATGTTTGTGGCAAGAGACAGGACATACCCAGCCTTGCAAACACCATGTTTGGGTATGCCAGTTTCCTGTGGGCATTTCCACAATTGAGCATCCATCACCAAGCAGTAACAATTCAGAGTCCCTAGTGTTCATGAAACAACTACTCCTCAAGGGCCCAATAACTGCAATCTATCTAAAATCTACCTAAATCTATATGAAGAGCATTTCAGTTCGCTTGCTAGCAAGCCAACCTGCAGGGAGATTACCTTGTATTTGGAAGTGTCCCAGTTATGAACCAGACGTGCAGGGATGAGGAAGCTGTCATCCACGTGGCAGGTGCTGCAGTAATACCATCCACTGTAGCTGCACACCTTGGCTTTCCCATTGGACAAACCTATGGAGCGCTGACAGCCTGGAGAAGAGAGAGGGGAAAAGTCTGGGTTTGTACACCATGCCAGAGGTACGCACTCGGGATGGAGTAGGAAAAGTAATTATTCCCCCACCTGAGACCCCTTTTAAATTTTGTTTATTTTCTTTACCAATGCACCATTTCTCATTCCCTAAAAATAGAGGAATGAGTATCATCAGTATTCTCGGACTAGCACTGAACAAGCATACACTGACTTGGGCATCTATGACAAAGAGTTCAGAGAGCAGTCAAAGGATACTTAGCACTTCTCAAGAAATAAAGCAGAAGACCAACTTTGAGACACCGGGCATTTAAAAGCAATGGCCATCTGAAAACCACGACCTGAAGCCTAGACAGAAACCACCAAACCACAGAAGTACCGTGCATTTGCTCCAGACAGCTCCCATTTTCCCCACAACAGAATGGGTCGGCATTGGCTGCCCAGAGGAGTCAAACCAGCTCCTGCTGCCAGCCAGAAGGGATGCTGACTTGGTAGGTAGGATTCAGCCACAGAATTAGCACAGCCAAGGCAAACCACAGTTAAACCATGAATAATAACTCTGGGCAGCAGTCACACTGAGAAAGAGTAGTTTTTGTCTGGCTGTAGGGACACAGTTCTGTTTGCATGGGTTTTTTTCCTTACAATTGGATTACCCTGTGTTTCACCAGGTCTGAGGTCTGTCTGATACTTTTTCCCAGCTGGATCCCTTGCCTCTTCCTATGCCCTCTTGTGTGGAGTCCTTGTAGTCAAAAGCTGCTGCTTAAGTTGGAAAGAACTAATGCAGAGCTCTCCTTCACCTGACCACCTGTTTCCACAAAACACAAAGAAACTCAATGTATTTGACACCCGTCTTTCTTTCAATGGAGGCTAAAATGAGCTAACCGGTTCAAATAATATTAGAGTGGAGGGTTGAAGACAGACAGCCCAGTCATATTAAACAACCTGCTCAGGAAGTGAGGCTAAAAATGTTTGGATAATATATAATGAGATGTCTGTCATTGTTATTAACACCTCTTTGACACAGCACACACGACAGTATTTCTGCTTTTCCTTCAGATGCTAGTGTCCCCATATGACATTTACAGCTACAGACACAATTAGTACTAGAGCCTCACTCCAGCGTGTGCCATATGCTCAGATGATCTCTGCTGGAGCTGGTTAGTAATGCCGATTAGCAGAATCCTTATACATCACTTTTACGGCAAAAGTAAAACAGCATTTTCCAGGCAGAAGTCAACTGACTGACTGCTTTTTGTCAGTGCAACTGATTTTGTTTAGTGTAATTGTGTAACATATTCTCCCACTGAAGGCATCTGTTTTCCCCAGTAGAAGGTATCCTGATTTGAGGAGAGATTGCAGTTCAACTGTGCTAGGCCTAAACTGAACTCCTTCTCCCTATCAGCTGATGCTACCATGACTCCTCTGCTCTAATAAAAACAATTAGAATAACCTGACAACACAATTAGCTCGCTTCCTCCTCTTCCACACTCCAGAGCCATTTGGCCATTGACTCCCTGCAATGCACACTCCTCACTCCTCCTTCCCTTCTCTTTTTTTTTCCCCCCTCCCAAGAGAGGATATGCAGTTTCTTGAAAAAGGCAAAATGCACACTATCAAGTGCATCAGTATGGGACATGTCCTGTATCCATCTATCTCCTCCTTCCCTTCTCTTTTTTTTTCCCCCCTCCCAAGAGAGGATATGCAGTTTCTTGAAAAAGGCAAATGTATGAACAGGTCAGGTGATGAAAGAGATACTTAAATTAATATCTCCTCTTTTACCATTCATAAGATCAGAACATAGGTATAAACACCTATCTCAAGTGGTATAACTTAACATACATAATGCAAAAATGTGATCTCATCTTAGGTAATAACCAGACAGAAAATCCAAAAATTGTAACTGTAAACTATTACCATTGTATAAATAATTTTTGTATGGTAAATATTAGCAGAACTTTTTGCAAAGCAGTACTTTTAGGGCAGAAAGAATGCGGGTATGTCTTTTATAAGGATAAAGTAAATTCCAGTAATTCAGCAGTGTGTTACAAAAAACTATGACGTATGACTCTGGCTTCGGATAAGAAATTAGAAGCCAACAACTTCATACTCCTTCAGTATAAAGCATGCATTTTCCCATTTTTCCTTTCTTGTTCTCTTTTTTTTTAAAAACAAAATCAAAAAAAACCCAACAAAAGCAGTTTCCTGACTAGTCAGTTAAAAGAGTTTCCATGCAGTTCTGCTCGATTTATGCTGTTACAAATGAAGTCAGCAGGCACACCTGGTAGTACACTCAGTATCAGTACCCTGTAGTATATAAAGAACTATTCTTCCAATTTTTAAACTGCATTCATACAGGAAGGTGAAGGTTTTGAACAGCTGACAAGACATGAAATACCAGTCCTGTTCATCTGACATGACGTTCATCTGACAAGCAGCCCTGGAAGATGCTTGCAGAAGGTACTCACACTGCTGCTATGGAGCCCATGTTTTTAAAAACACAACAGAGGTAAATCTTGCTTCTCTGTAAAGGAAACAGAGAAGTATGCCCACTCCTCTCCTCATGGAGCAAGATGAAGGAATCTACGAAACAGAACATTCCCCTTTCCCAAGCTAAATGGGAACAAGCCCTCAGAGATGTTTGTGTTAGCAGTACCTCAGTACAGCATGCTCTTCTGTGCCAGCCTTGCTAAAAGTAGTGCAGGGTCTGAAACTTTCTCATCACTAGTTGCCTCTGAATTTCCTATCACTGAAAAGCACTGAAGCATCTGTCTTAATAATTCAACTGGCCCCAATGTTAGCATTCATTACATATAGCCACCACCTCACACTGGATGAAGCAGAGACTGCTAAATGACATGTAGTATTTTCTAGCTCAATGTGTTTGGACCAGCTGATGAAGCAGTAGCGGTAAAGCTGTCTGAAAGAGACTCAACTCTCTTAACTCAACACTGAAACCTTTATAAACATTACCCACCAGCCAACACTGGTGGATGGGGATGAGACAGGACACCCTGATTTCACCCAACTGCCACTGTGCACTCTCTGCCACTCCACAGGCTGCTAGTTTGTCTTAGTGTCCTAGCTCTTATCCCTCAGACTGAAGGCAAGAATAAACTGAACTCCAATTTGAACTGCTACCATTCTAAACTAAAATGTTTGCAGTTGAGAAGTTACCCTTTTAAGGCCTAATTTATTGCAGCCTCCTAGAGCCAGAAACTCATTCCAGTCCAGAGTATTTCCTCAGAAGAGGAATGACAAAGCATAGAAATGCTAGGGGGGCTTCCTCCCCATAGAGAGCTATGTCCAGCTCAAAAGAACTGAAGGTCTGTGGGGTGAGGAGGGTCTTAGCAAGCCATCCTTGATGCCCTTCCCTTCAGGAAGGGTGGTTTTCTAAAGGGGAAAGAAGGTGGAAGAAGCTCCTACCCAGCTGTCACACATTGCTTTCTCCCTTATTCCAGCCCTTCTCTGAGCCCACATTTGTTTTCTTGTTCCTCAGAAACTTTTTTTTTTTTTTTTTTTTTTTTTTACACAGAGTATTTCTCATTCCTCTTCACATCCTCAAGTAAATCATACTCTGCAAAGCTACATAACAGTTGTAAGGTTGGGGTATTTTTGATGAGAATGTGGCACTGGCATCTACCTTACATCTCCCCTTACCAAACGGCTTTGCTGTTTGAAAATCTCCATTCTTTCCATTCCTATCTGTTGTGATTCATAATGATGGCTATTTCTACGATCCTTTCAAATCAAGTTATCAAAGCACTGATTTTCTTTGATGTTATGCAGTTCAAAGTGATGTAGTGTGACAAACATATTTCTGTGGCATAGATCACTTACGCTACTTTGTTTTTCTAAGATGAAAAAAAAAGAGCAAAAGTGAGAGAGAAAGAAGAGAAGGAAGGAACAGCTTGTGGCTTAATGCCCTTGGAAATCCTGTACCTGGACATTCAGGTACACAAACATGCCATCATGTTTACCAGAAGCAAAGCTAGTATTGATTCCTGGCCTTAAACTGTTGAGCATCCCTCCCAGCAAGATAGTCAGATGTAGCTGACCACCTCAGAGATCGATAGCACAACTCAACAAATAGTTTGGGGTGGGAGAAGGCACCATTTCATGTTTGCAGAGAAAACACTTACTTGCCTGCAGCTAGAGAAAACACCTTCCACAGAACAACTGGGAAAAAAGCAGCACAACTTTCACCAAGCCTCTCTCACCTATTCTTAATGCTCACACAGAATATTATCCATATAACATCTGGACAAAGGTCCGGCAAACCCTGAGCCTAAAGCAAGGAGAATACGGCGATATTTACTATTACCCCAAATCATACCTACCTAAAGGATGTTACAGAGCAAACTACAGAGGGAGGAAGCGTAGCTGTAGATAGACTGTCAGCAAAGTGAGGGATGGAATAATCCCAAACCTTTCATCAGAGAAAATATAAAACAGCCTTGGAATCAAGCACAGAAAACAGGGTTTAGAAAAAATAGCAGCCAAAAAGTGCTGCTGGGCATAGATGAACCTCTCTCAACAACAACGCTGTGAGCACAGCAGGAGTACCAACATCAAGAGGCTCATCTCCAAGTGCTAAGTCTTTGGGAGGAAAGAAGTACAGGAAGACAAGGTTAAAAAGTTACAAGAAGTCTCTCTCCTTGACTTAAGGTGGCGGTGAGGGTAGTACAGAGGAGGAATCCAAGGCACTGGAATACAACTCCTCTCCCACAAAGTGTGGAAAACGCCACTTCTGCCACTTTCAGTGTGTTGCATACTCTTGCGGTCAAGGAAGCCACCTACAACTATTCTTTTTATCCAGATACCTTTTTCTTTAATCTTTCAGCAAGAAAAGATTGAAGTAGCTCCACAGTGAAACAGAGAAAGTGAAAGACCAAACTAGAATAAGCTACACAACTGTTTTCCTTATTCAATAAAGCTCCTTACTTAGTATCAGGAAAAAGCAACTCCCTTGTGATTGTGTGCCATAATTAAATTTGTGACAGAT